TAATAGCTGGAAAAATTACTCAGTCTCAGAGGTGAACATACCTTGTGTTACTATAACAATTGAATATCTCATGAGTAAACAAGGGATAAGGTGAGAATACACTGCACTTTATTTTTACTTCAAGTTAGCTTAATTTACTTTAGATATTTTTTTTTTTTAATAGAGTTAACTGTATGGATAAAAATACTAAATTATTCATGCAAAACTGCAAAATTACTAAAATATTGCAGTCATTTTTTGATAGTACAGGTAGTTATCAAAGAAATGCTGACTGAATAAGAATTGATAAATTGTCAGATGAATTTGTTAGTAATTCATCATAGTTATGACATGGAAAAATGTTCTGCATGTAACTTTGTAACAGTATTTTAAACATGCAATAAATTAAAAATGTATGTATAATTGGAAAATATCTGATTAAATTCAAAGTTTAATTCATTCTTGTGATATCTTAGAAATATTTTTTTATAAAAAAGTAAGAGAGAATGAAGATATGACTTATCAAGAAAAAAAAAATGACAGAATTATGTATCATCATAAAATGCCTATAGAAAGTATAGAAATTTGTGAGATATTCCCCAACATTGCTGATGCCACACAATAAGACAACATATAATAATCCATAATAGATTTATAGGCAGATTTAGGTTTTCAATTTATTACAGTATTTGATAATAATAGGATTAAATATATATAAAAATGCTCAATATTCATACAATATAATTAATTTAAATATATAATCTAATGATCACTGGAGATTGTATAAATCAAACATTAACTATTAAAGAGAAAAAAAAAACGTAGAAATATTTATAGTCACGAGAGTTTTAGTATGAAAAAGTGTTTGAGCAATTAAAAGTAAATGCATTACAATGCATTGTCAACAGGATACAGGTCTATATGATTCAACAAAAAATAGAATCATACAAGCATACACAACAATGAACAATAAAAAAGCATAGAATAACAAATGCAAGCAAAGTATTACAATATGATCTTTTTTTTTTTTTTTGTTATATCGCAATAATTGGTCATTAAATGTTAAAACATGCAAAGTTGGTTGCATACATTTCTGTTATATTGCCTAGGGTCATGGTGAGGAAAAAAAAATTTTTGAGCGAAAATGATAATTTGAAAAATGTTATCACTTTCTATTCAATCTCACTTTTTAGAAAGGCAATTTCTAGAAATTAAAATTTTATTTTCCTACAAAATATTTTGTGAAAACAAATTTCAGGAGATGGTGCAGGTGCTTTTTATCAGAAAATTAGATGATAAAATGACCAAATGAAGATGACATTTCAGTTTGAACAAAAATTAATGTTTGAAGACAACAGTTTCATAATTTGCCTGTCTTCTGCTCTTATACAAATTCAATCACGTTTTTGCTCATTTCCTGCTTCATAAAGTACAAAAGACCCAAATACTAACCATTTTACGAAGAAAATAAGTCAAAGCATCAGAATATTAAAATGTAAAAATATTTTTTTCTACTTAAAATAAGTAATTTAACCAAAATGTAAGAAAACAAGACTTAAACAAAAAAAAATCAATCCATCATTCATTTTAAACTCCTGTCTTAAGCATAAATTCATTTAAAGATATAACGCTTGCTCTGATCTTATGCAAATGAAATATTTGAAATAAGTTGCCTTAATTGGCTGTCTCTATGCACCTGCAAAACAAGGACAGTTACCTTTTTACTACCAACACAGGGTAAAAAAAAAAAAAAAAAAATCAATAGGTAAATTAAATTTATATATATTTTTTATTTTAGTACAAATATTGCTAAATATCTAGGATCAAGAATTGACCATTCAAATTTCAAATCATTTAACAGAATCATAAAATGTTTGTTTTCTTTTAATCCAAATTCAAATATAATTTGACTGTGTTTAGTTTATCTTTACTCAGTAAAAAGTAGTAAATATTTTCTCTATATGACAATTTGAATCAGCCTTTTAGTTTTAAGACTGCTCATACAGAAATATATGACATCCATAAATTAAATTTACACGCAAACATACATTCAGGTGATGTAATTAATTTAAAAAGTACGAAGTAAAAAAAAAAAAATCAAATTCGATCAAGTTAAGCACATGATACAAGACTCAGCCAAAAAAAAATAAAAACATACAATTTCCAACAATCAACATAACAGCGAAATTTAATATTACAGATCTAAATAAGAAAACAATATTTTAAACAGTGTACAACACAATACAATTCAGTTGGGATTTATTAAGGAACGTCTTTGTATCAATCAGGTATTGAAAGATAGGGAGATGATTTTAAACCGTAAAAATTAATGAGCATGAAGAAAAAAGCTAATATTTCAACTCAACAAGTCGGTTTTGTTTACCAAGTGAATTAAAATAAAAATGTAATTAAGAAAAAAAAATCTCATTACTTTTTTGCAACACGGATATCTGGCATTGCGTCGTCAATAATAAGCTTGTAAAAGTCTATCACAATGTCCTTTAAAATTATTTCTTCGAAATTTATCTAATTTAAATGTTTCAAAAATATATTTTAAACAACTAGAGAAGCCACGTGGCCTTTGTTATCGAAGCGTTGGCATCAATTTTAATTCATAACGGAACAAATAATAAAATCAGTCTGATAATTTATGAAATATACCTTTTTTTATAATATTTATTATTGTTTACTTTTTAGAATATTGGACGTCTCGTATCGGATATTTCTGTATTCAAGAAAGCACACCACATGCATATTGCTGCATACATATCTTTTCCCAGCTATACCATGTGCTTTTTAAATAAGAAAGCGAATGTAATGAATTGGAAATGGATATTCATTTTGGGCGCATAATATTCTATAATGATTTTGTTTGTTTTTTTACAGAATTCAACGGAAAACTAATAATCAGTTACTGAGAGAAAATACATGTGCTTTATTTTTCCAGATGTCTTGCCTAGTAATTAAATCGTTGAAATTATGGTAAAATATTGTACAACTTTCTCTTTCTATGGTGGGGTGCTGAAACATTATCAGCCCAACCCATTTCCGAAAATGTGATCAAATCACTAAACATGAGAATTCTTTTTTAAATTCCTTCTTTGTCGAGCTGAGAACCTTTCGGTCACCCCATCTAAAACTAGCATAACTTTAAAACATTGTTAAACACGCATGCACTGTGCACGAAGCACGTGCTTTCAGTCACAGTTTTTACACCGATTACAGATACATGCGGTGTTTGGTTATGTAATAATTTTAACATTACAATTACAGACCAATATAGTAGTGTAATTAACATAATTTGAATAGTCAAGAACAATAGTAGTATAAGTATACATTAAAGAAAATATACTATACCTGATTTTTATTGGTGCCATCTCTCAGAAAGCCCAAACGATAATGAACACAGGAAATGATAACAAAATCAGTTTTTTACTTGAGACTTGGGGAGCCGAATTATGGACGAGTTTATGGGTTCGTTTTTCTCTACCCAGAGTACAAATTAATTTTAACACCAGAGTCTAAAAAATATAAAGTAGCAGATGTGGACTGTTAGCACTTGGATACAGAAATTTCCATGTTCATTTCTTAAGATTCTTTCTTTATTAGTGTTTTCACTTTGGGAATTGAAAATAAATACTGCATTCACTACGCAATGCTTTTTTTCCTAATACTTTTAATTGAAATGGGATATTTATTTACAATTGATTGAGCTTCTCAAAAACAAACTTGTTAAATGAAATATTAAAATGAGATGAAAAAATGGATAAGTAACTCACGAATGAAATTGCAAACTGAAATAAAAAAAATGTTTAAGAATGAAGAGAAAATTAAGTTTTATTTTCTTCAGCTATTTTATTTATTTTGTTGTAGATGGCTTGTACATTGAAAAGAAGAACTCATGGATTTTATTTATTTACACCACAGCTGATCTCAAGGGAAATAACAGGATAGGTTTAAAAAGGAAGGAATTCGGATAAAGTGATAAATCAAATCCTAAATGTCAGGAAATGATGCTGAGTATAAAATCTTTAAAACAAGAGATTCTGGATTCATTTTGTTTTTGTTTGATAGTTACTTTTACTTATTAAAAAAAAACAAAAAAAAATAAAACACCTATGCTAATTCAATCGCTAGAATCTCTATTAAGAAAAAGTACCGGCAAAGTCAAAGAACTTAATAATTGAATTCTAAACTAAATCAGAATGACACTTCTTCTTAGTCAACATTCTTCACATTTTCTAAATTTTAAACAATCGATCCTCCCAGTAACCAAACTAGTAATTCTAACAAAAACATCCTGTTTGAATACTGAAAATAATTTACAATTATTCAGTATTTGATTCATTTACTTACATAAAAAAAAGAGAAATATAAGTAAATAAACAAACTGATTTCAACAATTTACATCTAGCGGTTAAATATGATTTTTAACTAAGGGTTTGTTTATGTTCCCAAGCATCTGATTTTTGATCTTGGTAAAAAAAAAAAATATTTACTAGAGAGACTATAAACAATGTTTGTTAAGTAATGGTAAATGCTTAAAATAACCACTTACTGATGCTTGCCTTTTTTACCAATTAACATTTTAACTTAAGTACGTCATCTGAAATTAAATTTAACAAAAAAAAAACAAAAAAACATGCGACTAACTTTTTATTTATTTTACATCACGAAAAAAAGAAAAGAAAGTAACACGTTTAATAAACGTGATTTACAATGCGTACATCGAAATCTAAAGAACTTACCGAAGTGTACATCCTGAATACTTATCCGCATGCATAATATAGCTCCTTGTTTATATGCGTGTATTTTATTTTTATTATCTAAGGAATGAATGTTAGAACCATGTTGTTGTATTGTATGTACTTAGTTACACCCAAACGAAGAGTGAGACTTGACCGACCTACAAAATGTCGACGACATCAAAAATAAAAAAAGCCTCGACACAGCGTTAAAAGGATTTTTAAAAGTAGAATATCTAACAGTGCGTCCCCATTTTCGTTTATCTGGTTGCTTACCTGGATTCAAGGGCCTGATCCAAACTATCCATGTGGGAATATTTCTTTACAGGTTTTTGAATTTGCCAGCAAATAATGAGAGCTTGATCACGGGGCCAAACAACAGGTCATGTGAGATGTAAAAATGAACATGTGACGAGAAATGGCAAAATGGCGGATAGCACGGGTCTCTCGCTTTCTCCACTGCTCTACTTCTTCCCGTTTTCTAATCTTTTTTTCGCGATTTTGAGAAGTTTCTTGATGGTTTACGAATACACCTCGCCTCCTGAACCTGACACTTCACCTTTAAGCCACCACAAAAACACCCTCTTGGATTTTTGCTTTCTAAAATACCCAGACAAGCCGTTTCTTCACCAACCAAGATGTCGCCGTATCTATGTATGCGTGTGAGTATGAGTATGAGGTAAGAAGGTGAGAGGGAGGAGGGACCGCAAATTGACCAAGATAGTAGGAGGAAAACAAGAGGAAGTTAACTAGTGACACACAAGGAGTGGGAGGAGAGAACAAAAGAAATATGAAAGAGTATGACTGAGATGATCGAGGAGCGGGATGAGTATAGTTTTGGTTTAAAGGTAGTCAGAGAATGTGAGAACTCGTACAGATAGTATGTCGAGAAGATAGGAGGAACACGAATCGAATTTAATAAGTGAGTGACCGAAGAAAAGATAAATAATATTTATAGAGTGAGTAATGGAGGATCGGGCTAAGTAGTCTTAGTATCGAAGTTGGAGGAACGTACACATTGTGCAACAGGACTATTTTCTAATAAGAACTAGAGGAGTAGGAGTTATCTTTAGAAAAAGAGGGTGACGGTAAGAATGGGGTATCAAAAATAGTCATTGCTTGTTTTTATGAAATCATTGATTTTTAATTTCAATGTTTTTAAGAATGAAAACTGTCTTACAAAAACAATACGTTTAACGATCAAGTCACGATATTACAACGAACGCACGTCTTGAAGGTGATCTAAAGAGTAAAAGACAAGACGAAGTACTTGAACTTGACCGATTGTAATTAAAAAGAAACGAACATTCTATTCACATAAAAAAGTAAGTGTGTTAGTGTTTTTACGGCACATAGCTGATGTCTTGTTTTAATCAAACTTTATGTTTACATTATTTTATTACAATCTATTTAAAAAGTATGCTATGCACATGGATATACACTAGATCTACATTACAGTTGTTAAAAGTATTGAATATTAGCTAAAAGATTTATAATAGATCATTCATATTATGGAGACTTTGGCAGTTGATTTTTAAAAATAGAAAGTCCAAACACATTTTTTCTCATTTAAAAATAGACTTACTTACTAATAAAACAATAAGGAAAAGTATTTATCAAGGCAGATAATCCTGTTTTAACTTTTTAGTTTCTTTAAAAGTATTTTTTAAAAATTCCCGATTCACTTCGTTTTCATTCAAGAGTTATTTTTTTTTTTTATTAATCTTTTATGTTGAATTATAATTATATCACCATTTTTAAAAAGTAATTATATGACTATTACGAAAGCATTATCACTTGCCTTTAAATCTCTATTTGCACTACTTTTCACCTCGGATCACTCCTATTTTAAAATACTACTAGAAGTGGTAAAGCGGTTTCGTCAGGCTTTTTTTTTTTATAATTCTTTTCAGATCAAAGTATAAATTGACCAATCGTTTAGTGTTTTCTTTTGACATCATCAAATAATTTTTAATACTAGAAATTTTATTTTCAGCACTCATCCATGTATGTATGTGATAGAATATGTGGACGCTTTAGGAGTGAATTTTTTCAATGTTTAAGAAAGGAAAAATGAAAACAAATTAGCAACTTTACAAAAGTTATGCTTCTTTGGATATGAAAAGGTAAAAATTGGATGTGTATTATGAAAAAAAAAAAAAAAAAGAACTTTACTACTCTTCTTGTCCCACTTCAGTTTTCTGCTGCTGGTATAGAAATCTGATATATTCCCAAACAAACGCAAGAAAAATTGTGTCATGGTCTTTTAAAAAGTAAAATCTTTGTTTTTTTTTTTTTTTTTTTTTAGTCAAACAGCACATATTTTCAAGCACATTATCTACTACTGATTACCAAACAATTTTTGCATGGCATTGTCAAAGGTTGCATTGCTAAAATACTGATGTTATGCACTTAATTCAGAGCAGCAGAAACTGTTAGTTTTCTTTTATAAATTTGCAAATATTAGGAATTTATTTTTTTATACTCTAGTGTGTTGATGTTATAAAGAAGATTATTGATATATTTGACAGTATCGGATGCACCTTACATTTCTATTTCTGTTCTTTTATTTAATGTCAGCCTAAAATGTTTTTAAAAAAAACAACCATTTATTTGTCTTTTTGCTGAACATGTAGTTAGAAAAAGTCTTCAGAATAAAAATGCCATAAAATTACATTTTCAGATATTGGGAAATATCCTAACTAATATTTTTGTATATATTGTAGAGAGCAACTTATAGATATTGCTTTGATAGACAACCTAGATCTCTCTTATCAGATATCTACTCAGAAAGCAAAATTTAACTCAAATCAAAGCAATTACTGCTGCATTGTTATGCCTGGGAAAAATAGAAAATTACCATTTACCAGAAATAAATAACTATAAAGATACTGACATAGATTTCACATCGGCACCACCATTTTGGTTTTGATCGGATACTCTGCCATACAGACTAAGCTAAATGACACCCCCAACACTCAATATAATAAAAATACATTGCAAAACAGGTTATATTATGCACTACTATATGTCAACACTGGTTTGGAAATAGCACTAAGAACTAGTTAGTTTATATAACACAAACTCTATGGACCAGCGTTTCATGATATCTTGAAAACCAGTATGTTGACAATATAATGTAAATTTCACAAAAAAAGGTTAAATGTTTTGAAAACTAAGTTATATATATTTTGACAGCAGGCAACATTAGTTTAAAAAAACATGCACTGCCCACAGCAGTAGAAATGTTAGAAAGTGACAGCATAGTACAAAGCTTACCAAATATAGCAAAGATCTTTTATAAAATATTAACATAAACACTCAAGTTTAAACTTCTATGTAAAAAGATTTCAAAGTTCAGAAAAGAATTCTGTGGTAAATTCCTTATCTGCTTGTATGCTTTCATCAATACAAACTTGCAACAATACAAAAATAATAATGTTTAGAGATGTAGGCCCAAAAAGTGAATTATGCCTACTCAGTTTTGCACAATGTCCTAAACACAAAACTTTTCTTAATCAAATTTTATTACAACAAAGTACAATTGAAATATATAATCCTTTGTCTAACATTCTGAAATTATCAAATTCAATGCTGTCAAGCTGGTATCCTAATCTTTAATGCTTTTAACATATTATTTTGATTGATCGATTCTCTGGTCTTCAATTGATGATATAGGATAATAATGTTGGTATCATAGTTTCCATTTTGATTTTGAAGATGTGAATTTGATTCCTGGGCTGACCAGTTTCCTGTATCATTGGTTCAATGGTGTGTAAATCCTCTGGAACATTAATGAAACAGACCACTTGATAGAGATATCAATATAACCTCAAGAAGTATTTATATAAAGTTACAAAAGAATAGCATAAATTCAGCCCTTTGCAAAGATATCAGCTACAAATAAAAAAAGAAAAACAAGGAATCAGAATAGCATATTCTCATAAGTGCAATCATGGCTTCTATTCAGGAGTCTCCTAAAGATTATCAAATGTTATATTTACCTATGAAGGTGGAGAGATGATGAACTAAAATATAATGTTGAAAGACACAAAGTATCTTTGCTTTTTTAAAACTATTTTTTAGCTTTAAAAAACTGTTCCTGCATCAGAGAAATAGTATTTTCTGGATATAACAGACATATTTCACTACCATTGGACAATGAAATCACTAAGTACCAAACAGCTTAGCCAATTAGATCACGCAACTAGGATGATTGATTCAGTATGTATGAAAGTCAGATTTAAATTGTGGCAGTATGTAAATGTGAAATATAGAATTAAATCATGTAATGAGGATAGCTAGGAATTACTCTACATGAAGTTGAAATTCATGTCTCAGAAATAGAAAAGTTTTTAATGTGGGGAAGACACTGTTTTTTTTTTGGATACTTCAGGGTATTAAATGAAAAGAAAAAAGATAACTGTGCTAAGTACTTAATGCTTTACTTTATTTCCTAACTTATGAACTGAAAGTGTAAAATTTGTTCCTTATATGATTGTTTTTTTCCTGTTATATAAAATTATGAAAATATATAATGATGTCATGACCTTGTATTTTCTACATTTCGCTTTGAGTCCACATGTCTGATTTATATTTTTTTCTGGAAAAGTGTTGCTTTAATGTTTTAAGTCCCAAACAAGATATGTTTGTGGTGCAATACAACAGTCTAACATGAATTTGTATTGCTGATAAGTTAGAGCATTTGCTGAGAAAGATACTTATCTAAATAAATCATCAAATCACAATGTGGTCCTTACTAGTACCCATCATATTATAATTCTGCTTGTTCCTTAGTTCTTTAGCACTTATGTTACACCCTACCAATATCTCATAAATTATGAGCTATTCCATTTTAATAGCAAAGAAAGATGAAAAAGACATATCAAAGACACTGTTTGGTTTTAGTGAATAAAGAGGAAAGGAAGATAGAGGCGGTGATAACATTCTTATGTGTTTAACATCTACTTCAGAGAAATGGAAAAATTTATCAATTTCAAATCTTTTCATTTGTACCCTCTTAGTTTTTTAAATAATGACCTGCATTCATACTTATAATTGTTATTGCAATATTTTTTTAAAGTTGCAAATTTCAAATATTTAATGATGAAATGAGGGAATTTCCACAGGTATTTTATAGTTATTGAACTCTCAAGGTGCTTATTTAATCATTAACTTAAAAATTAAAATAGGAAAGCCATGAAATTTTTACAGGTATTTCTAATTGTTATTATTATTATTACTGTGTACATTTTTATTGTAGAGAAAAATTCAGGTTTATTATTCATAAGACGATAAAAATTTTACA